CCCGCTCGCTCGGGCTCCCGCTCTGGACTCGGCTCCAGTCCCGCTCCGCGCGGCGCTGCTCCGCTATCGCTCCCGCTCGCCTTGGGCTCGGGCTCCGGCTCCGGTGGCGTCGCCTTCCCAGCAGCGGGTCCCCAGGACCGAGGCAGCGGCCCCCAGCCATGGCCCGTGCTCAGGCTCTGGTCCTGGCGCTCACCTTCCAGTTCTGCGCGCCGGAGACCGAGACTCCCGCAGGTAAGCGCGCGCGGTCCCTCCGAGCTCATCCCGCGAGCCGGGGACGGCTCGTCGCGCGTGTCGGAGTGCAGGATGCTCGGTCGTATGTTCCGAGTGTCTGTGACCGCTGTGTCCGTAGTTTGTGTGCAAGCTGAGGTTGCTTGTGTGCCGCGGCTGCGAGTGTGCTGGCGTGCGTGTCTCCTGCGTGGGGCACCGGGTGTGTGCTGGCTCGTGTCTGCCGGTGTCTGTCGGTGCTGCCAAGTGGGTTATGTATTTGAGTTTAGGTAGCTTGGCTGGAGTTGCGTCTGACACTGTGTTGCATTTGTTGGCTTTTTTTTGTATTCCCCAGGCGGGAGTGCTGTTGCTGGTGCGTTCAAGAACCCGCGTGTTTGTTTTATGCGTGTGCTGCGAGGGTTCTGTGGATTCTGCTCGAGTGTGGGCCCGGGAACGCGTGTGTGGTATGTGTGCGAGTGCAGGCGTGGGAACGGGTCGGAACCTGTGTGTGTGTGTGTGTGTGTGTGCGCCGTGTCCACGAGTGTCCCCGTGGGAGTGTTTGGGGTGTGCAGTGGCTGTGTGGGTCCGAGTGAATGCCAGGGGTGGGGAGAATGCGTGTGGGGGAGCGTGTCTGGAGTGGCTGTGAATGTGTCGGATGTGTGTGGCTGCGTGGCTAGGAACGCTGCGAGCGTGGGGCGCTCCTGGGCCGTGGTCGAGTGTGGCCGGGAGCTGAGGGTGTGTGTGCATGTGTGAGTGTGTGTATGATCACGCGCGTGTGTGCGTGGCGCACCCGGCCGGAACAAGTTGTCGCGGCAGCGTCCCTCGGAGG